GGCATACCAAAGGTTGCATTACTTTACAACTTTCTTCAACACTTTCCTCTATCCCATTTGACACGTAACACCCCGAGCTTTCTCCCACAGGGCAATTTTTACCCAGTTCATCAAAATTATTTACAGTGGAGGCTTCCTTGTGATATAAGTCAGGACTAGCTACTCTGACCAGAGAAATGTTTGACTTGCACTGTTGAATTGAATGTCTACCTCCTTTAACATCATCCTTGGACTCTAAAACAATGTCTATACTATCTGAATTGCACCAAGAGAAAGTTTTCTTGTTTATCTTAGCATCCTGTTCCTGGCGGCCAAGAGAACTTGGAGGTGTATTGTTCACCCTCATATTATCAGTCACCATCGGCAGCTTCAAAGACTTTGACAAGCTACCTCTGCGCTCGGCAAGTGAAAGTGAAGATTTTTTGGATGGTGAGGAAGCTGCCGGCAAATGTTGCTGGGACATATCGACACCATAAATACTTGATAATGGTTGGGAAGACGATTTAGATGTGAGAGACAAGTTAGATAAATTAGACAAGGTTGAAGATACTGGAAGAGAACATGAAGTTGCTGAAGGAGAATCTAGCGAGGATTCTGAAAAGTACTTTGAGTTAGTGCTAGAATCAGAAGAGATAGAATCTGGAGAGAGATAGGGAGGCGAAGAGGAGGAAGATGATGACAGCGAAGATGATGACGGTGATGATGAGTGCACTATCATCATAGTGTCTGAATAGACCCTGGAAAGCAACATCTTCGGTGCTGAGACAAACTCTTTCATATCACCCGGTACAAACTTCCGCCTTAGCACACTCCAACTGCTTTCTCTAGCAGGAAGATGGGTTTCAAGTTCATTCTCTGATGATGCAAATGGAGGCACAAAACCCCCCTTGATAGCTTTTTGGAAAATCTCAAAATCAACATTATATGTATCTACTTTCCTCTCACCAGGGCAAATCTTAGCTCTGGATCCCCCGCGATCTCCTCCATTAGCAGATTTATCCATCAATGGTAAATAATAAGAGAAAGCATCCCAAAAACGAGCTGGTTCTTCGCCTTCTTTGACCACTATTATTGATCCTTGAGCTCTTTCATACCGAACAATCTGGCAAGCTGCCCCTCTCGCATCCCTTTCCATAATGGCCTCACAATTTTTACCGATCCAGACATAAATTGAAGAAGGAATGTGAACAATAAAGGCACCTCTAGAATCCAGAGCAGATGGCGATGGGTCATTCAGCATCCTTGGGACAAGATGCAAAGGGTCATAGGATGAGTGTGGGGCAATTCTATACATCCTCAACAATGAACTAGGGCTAAGAGGGAAGGCATGAACCCTCTTTTGGCATTGCAATAACTGGCAGGCAAAACCCATGTTGGGATCTGCAATCCCTCTTGCTGCCTTCACATACTGAAACGCGTCATCAAAACTCTGGCCCTCTCTCCACATGAGATATGCTATCACCAATGAAGTGGACCGTGAAACCCCTTGGCAGCAATGAACAAAAACCCTTCCGCCCTGTTCCCTAACATCTTCAAAATAATCGAAAACGTCATATAGAATACTCGTTATATCCTCTGATGGACTATCCTGCAACCACAAAGTCCTATACACAAAATCTGCCTTGAAATACTCCGGACAAACAAAACCCACACAATTTAACACATGGGTAATCCCATTCTGCTTCAAAATCTCCCTATCTTTAGCAACAGCATCCCCACCTAGATACACGTGTTCTGCAACTTTAGAGCATTCCTTATCAAAGAAAGCAATCCTATCCTTCTTCACCAACCCACCGTTCCTATCAGGGGTCCTTTGAATCGAAGATAAATCAAGTTTCAACCTTTCACCGCTCTTGTTCCCACTCGGAGTAGGAGGCTGCGGCCACTCTCCCAAATCATCAGAACCTGCTTTTGGCCACTCGTCTAGACTTTTCCGAGCAATCGACAAAGGTGGCAAGCACGACCGTGCTTTACAATTCTGTTGAGACCGCGGAGTTAAAGGAGCAGGATACCTCCTATTTTGCCCATTACCACTATTATTACCAGCAGGATTCCCATTCGGATCTATAACGCAATCTTTCTCTTCTGTTCCAGGGTGCTGTAGAGCAGTCCTGGAAGAGGACCAGGACGCAGAACGCCAGAAGACTTTGCGAGACCCGCCGGCAGAAGGAAGCTGGCTCGGAGCCAGAGGATTATTAGAAGCATCTTCTTTGCCCACCATGCCCACTCCGCACTCGAACAAAAAGGTTATAACGACCTAGGATTTGAACCAGACCTAAAAATCCTAAGAACCCTGTATGTCTTTGATCTTCTACTTCAATATTCAAGACTAAACATGCTGGGGTTAGCTAGATCAAGCAGGGTGTTCCAGTGATACTGCAATCAAATAATTATCAGCAAATCAACATAAAATTAATCAATAATACAAGAAACATAACACTAATCAAAGATTTAAAGAAACCCACAAATCCAAAACAAGAACCCAAAAAAACCTAGGGTTTTATCAGTTACTTAATGCAAAAGACCACAGAAATAGAAAGAGACACAAAGGGGAGGGATTGGATTCAAGACTTACAGTATGATGTGAAGGGTGAAGGCGTGTAGAGAGAGAGAGTATTGGATTTATCAGGAAAGAGCGGAGAGCTGGGGATGTTAACGAGAAAAGGAAGAGAAGGTGAAAGGAAACAGTCTTATTTCTTTTCTTTTTTCGCTTTGGTTTTATTTTCAGCTGAGACTTGTAATGTTTCTTTCTTTGACGCTATGTATATATAGGGGAGCGGGGACGTTAGCATTCGTTTCTTCTCTTAACTTTTTTTCTTTTTCTTTTTTATTCACAATATAACGATACCAAGAGCCTGAAAGTTTATCGTGATTCTAGAAAATTTTAGATTTTTTAATTTTAGATTATTTTTTTATTTTTTATTGTTCTATATTAAAAATAAAAAAATATTTTAATATACTTTCAATAAAAAAAAAATTTGAAACGTAATTTTTATTTCACTAGCATTGACATTTTTTTCTTCTCTTTGCTTTTTTTTTTTTGTTAATTCACAATATAACATATCATGATTGGAAGTATGATTAGACTATATTTGCAGAAAATTTATATTAAAATAAAAAAATAAAATAAATTATTTTAATATAATTCTAACAAAAAAAAAAAGTACTTCAAAATACAATTTTTACTTAGCTCTCAAACACCCCCAAGGCTAATTTTTTTTTTTGGTCTATTGGCCATCCATGATTCATGATCTATTACCATCAATAATAAACATTTTAAAAAATATATAAATCATTCGATGATAGTTATTGTTTATATCCATCAATCTTGTTAGTAATTTATTTTATTTGATAATCTTGTCTACGATGATGTTTGGGGATGAATATTTTTTTTTCTTAGGTGATTAATATGATTTTAAGGATAAAAATAACAATAATTATTATTGATATAATTATATTAGAATTCACAAGTGCTTCTATATATATATATATATATATATATGAATGAACTTAATAATTAGCCTTGGGTTCCAAGGATTGCAGTGCATAGAACTCGTAGCCATGTTTCCATAAAGGGTTTTTATGGACCTTAAAAATATTATTAATATAAGTATATAAAAAATAATTTAAGAAAATATCGTAACAAAATACTCTCAATTGAAAGACAAGTGTATCGTTGAACCTTCCATTTAAAACGCAACCACCTCAGCCCACTTGCTTACCTGCCTGGCTATTGTAGGAAAAACTGACTAGTAGAAATGCTAGCGTGTCACGGTTATCATCTTCCTGTCGACGTGCAATATATTTTATTTATTTATAAGCAACGAAGTATAAGCAAAATCTTCCCATACATATACCGATGTACAAATTGTGAGAGTTCGGTCGTATAAAAATTATAAAACCCATGATTAATATTTATATACAAATACGTGTGAAGATTTCACATGAAAAAAAAACATTTTTAAAAAGAAAAAACAAAACAGGTTTCAAGACACTGTTCCAAGAAGCATTTTGTAAATTTTTTTATTTAAATTTTTTATAATTTCAATATGATGATGGAAAAAATATTTCTTATAAAATTTTAAAATATAATTTTAAAATATTTTTAAGTAAAAAAAACATTCAAAATCAACCTCAATAATGGTCACGTTTCTTCTTTCTTTTTTACTCTTCGAATGGTGGTAAATGCTAGCACACAGAGAATTAATTCCGAAACAAATGCTAAGGAATATATGAATTCATTTTATTTTATTTTATTTTTAAATGGAGACCTTTTAAAAGAAAATTGAGGCGAAACTAAATAGATTGTACGTACCTACCTCGACTGTATGAAAATAGAAATTAGCAGGTTTTTTTTAAAAATGAAAATAGAAATTTCATTTGTTTTTTTATAGTAAAAATAGAAAAGTAATGGTAATTTACTTAAATTTCTACTCAGCAGGCAAAAACTTTTCAAGCTTTGCCGCCTTCGAAGAAAATTCAAAGAAGACAAGCGCAAACCAGGAGGAAATTTCGTGAATAATATATGCATCATATTATTAAACACACGCGCGAGGTCAGGACACCCTCACTGTATCAATATATTCAAATTTTAATGGCTTAAAATCGATCGCAGCTCTTAATCATAGGACGACAGTCGATCTGCGACAAAAGCACAGGTACAGTATCATTTTATTTTTATGTTTTAAAAATATTTTTGAAATAATTAAATTAATTGTTTTTAGTGTTTTTAAGATATGCTTAATACAAAATATAATATTTAAAAAATAAAAATTATTTAAAAAATCAACTGTATATTTCCCAGTTCGACCACCTGGTTTGGCCATGCCAGTGACCAGGAGGAGCTGGGGAAATTAAAGGGAGTGACCAGAAAAGCAAAATATACCAAGTAAATAAATGCGGGATGCCAGTGGATGGGCAGGAAAAGGTGGGAGTAGTAATTAACGTCACGAGGAAATGTTTGTGGAGTTGCTGCTGTGATTTAATAATCATTCAAGAATTCATGAGGGTTCGTACAAGAAAGTTTGCATATTCCTATCATCACCGTCAGGCATGATGCTAGTATTCTGTTCTGCTGTATCCAACACCAGCCCAATTCTGCAGAAATCAATGCCATCTGCACTTCATCAACGTTTAACCATAGGTCTGATAACACCCTAATCGTCAAGTAAAAGGAATTGGTGGTATATTTTTGGAGTCCCTTATGCTTTCCCATAGGCGAAGGCAAGAGATTAGGCCTGCTTGAAGCAAAGGTTTGCTCCGTAATCAAGTATTCCAGTTATTTTCACCTGCTTTTCTATGTGTTGCCATGGCTTGTGGATGTGAAATTACTTTAAAAGGAAGCAGTCGCATGATTCTTGACTAGAAAGGTAGTCAATCATATACCTTGAGTAAAAGGACTGGATTGGAAATTGAGAATAAAAGGAAAACCAGCCACAGATTGGTCCTGAAACAGAAAAAAATGGCAGATGGGATAAGCTTCACCAACTTATGAGCAAATCTTGCCACTGTTATGTGAAAACTACACTTTGATAAAATAGAATATATGGAAAGAAGACACTCATATGAAGGGTCACACATCACGGAAAAAATATTTCACTTGTGAGTTTTTCTCCCGAAATCATTGTTTTTTTATATATATATATAATCAAATTAGCACAATAAATTTAAAGTTTTTGAATATTAAAATCAATCAAAAAAAATTTAGTGAAATAATATAATATAATTTTATTATGTTTCTGAAATGCAACATTAACTATATATATGATGTTTTAAAATCATAACATTAATTAAAATTTAAATAGATCGAACACTAATAAACACACCATGCTTCCTCTTTCTCATAAAAAACCCATTGTTTCCCTTCTATCTTTCTTTAAAAAAACCCTTTAATCACTTAGATTTTACCCTTAAAACAATTAAAAATCAAACTTATCTTAATCTTTAAGCATCATTTGATGTTTTTATATTGAAAATCCATCGGTTTCTTTGATGCTATTGCTACCATCATTGTTTTCACCATTGCCCCGATCATTTTTATAGTTCTACAAGTAAGGTAAACATATTACATTATTGTTAATTTGTATTTAATCAGGTTAAAATCAAATAATTGTTCATGTTAAATTTAGGGTTTATGGTGAATTTAGAATTTGTTAAATCAATGATAAATTAGTTATGTATTTTGAGATTATTTAAATATTGTATCATTTAATTATTTTTTATTTATTTTGCATGATATATGTTTGTTTGTATCTTTGGTATCTACATGACTACTTATGATTATAAAATATGAGAATATGTTGAGTTTAGTTAAAATTTATTGATTATCATTATTGTGATTTTTTATAATTTGTTTAAGCATGAAAAAATTTTAAGTATGGTTCATACTTTTTATGTAGGGAA